TTTTTCGAATGAAAATCTTTGAAATTTTGAATGCAAAACCCTAAAAGTTTTTCTAATGAGAATATTTGAAATTTAAAATTTTAGATGTGAAGCCATAAAGTTTTTGAAAGAAAACCTTTGGATGTGAATCTCTAAAAATATTTGAATGTGAATATTTGAAATTTTGGATATAAATCTCTAAGTTTTTCAAATAAAAATCTTTAACTTTTGGGTGTGAACCTCTAATTTTTTTGAATGAAAATCTTTGAATTCTATATGTGAGCCTTGAAACCTTTTATGTGAATCTATAAAATTTTTAAAATATGAAACTTCGAATTCTGGATGTGAACTACTAGTAAAAATTTTTTGAACGTGAATATTTTAATCTAGGAATTTTGGCAACAACGAAGTTCAAATTCTTTCAAATATGAAAATCTCTTATGAATCTTTGAAGTTTTTGCAAACCTAAAATTCTTGCGAATTTGAAATTCTTGAAAACTTGTAATTCTTGCAAATCTAAAAATTATTATAAATCTGAGAATCTTTGCAAATCTAGAACCTTGTAAATTTGGAATCTTTACAAAACTTGAAACCTTTTGCAAATCTGAAACCTTTGCGAAACTTGAAATTTTTAGAAACCTTTATGAATCTTGACTTTTGTGAATTTTGAAATCTTTACAATTTTTTTGCAAAACTTGGAGTCTTGGAATCTTTCAATTTTTGTTATGAAACCTTACAAATCTTTGACACAAACTCTTGAATTTTCAAATTGTGAATCTTTGGATTTCAATTTTTACTATGAAACCTTGTAAATTTTTGACACAAACCTTTGAATTTTCAAATTGTGAATCTTTGAATTTCAAACTAAAAATTTTGAAAATTTTCTATATCAAGCAAAATGTATGTTTTTTTGACATTTCCTAATTAAAGTTTTTAAAATCGTTTAGCCTCTATATAGAGGAGCTCATTTTTAAGTTAAAAGTTGTTGAGGTTCTGTTTAGAGAAGTTCTTTAAAAGTTTTCAAAAAATCGCATACCTATATTTAGAGGATTTTTTTTTTAAAAAAAAAAAAGTGGAATGATTTGGGCCTGACGTAATGGGTATATATGGCATTATGTAATTTTTGTTCTACGAAAATTGTATAAAAGGGGACAACTATAGACATCTCATTTTATCCGAGAATGTTTTAGGAATTAAAAACAAGCATTCAATCATAAATTGGGCCCAATTGGGAAACTTCAGGCCTAACAAGATAAAAGCCTAGGGTTTTAATTTTAATTTAATTTGATTTTATTCTTGCTTTTATCTAATTGGGTCAAAAGTAAAAAAAAATAAAAAATTTGTAAAATCATAGGAATAAAATCCACAAATTAATCACTGGATTTCACAAAAGGAAAATCAAATATGGATCTTCATGCAAAAGGAAAACTTATAGAAAATTAAGTCACATAAAATCAAATCAATAATCAGTTTGATTTGATTTCCAAATTTGATAGGGATTCAATGCCTATAAGAACATAGAAGAATCATAGAAAAAAAGGAATTAATTGGAGCGTAAAAAATATTCTGGGTTTTTTATTCTAGGTTTTGGATTTAGGTTGATTTTCTGGTAGTCTTTAGAAATTTTTTTTTTAAGTTTGAAATCTAATTTTTGTTATGGGATTTGATTTATTTTGGATTCTGGTTCCTTCCTAGGAAATTTTGGGTTTATGTGATTTTTGGATTTTTTTGGTGAATTTTCGAGATTTTTTGTGTTCCAGGTTTTTTCTAAATTCTTTTTTGGATTTTTATTGATTTTTTCAATTGAACATTTAAATTTTTCGACTAAGTTCATAGTAGCTAAAGGAGAAAACGGCGACCATTTTCTAGGTTTGGTTTGAATATTCCGACGGCAGTTTGAAGTTTATGGCACCAGGATTTAGATTTGGTGGCTAGAATTTGGTGTTGATAAATTTTTTGATTAAATTTCTAAAGAAAAGCTAGAGAAGCGTTCAACTAAAGAAAGAAAAAACCAAGGTTTCTCGAAGAAAAAATTAATTTTTTTTCTTTTATACACCATCAAAATGACAGTGTTTTAAGAAAGACTTTAACCCATAAGAACTCGGTTGACCTGCTAATGATTTATGCGTAACCCATCAAGCTACTTGACACGCAACATAGGTTTTCCTTTTTCTTTTTTCGTTTAATTTTTGCTTTGATTTTTTGGGGGTTTTTTATATATTATTTTCGTAATTATATTTTCATATTTATTATTTTAAATGGTTGATTGATGAAAAAAGTTTATTTTTGCATGATGTCTTTGTTAATTTATTTTTAGTTCTTATTTTGGCATGAGTTTAATATATTAATTGCATGATAGTTTACATGATTATTATTATTATTGTACGATATATTATATTGTTATTGCATGATATTATTTGCATGATGATTTTTGTTTATCTTAATTGATTTTCTTTCCTTTCAAATTTAGAAAAAAGGTTTTCAAAAGAAATATTTTTTTAATCCTATCAAACTATGGAAGGATTTAAATCTTGAATTAAATCTTACCAAATTATTGAAAGACTTAATGAATTTTTTAAAAAATTCTACCAATAGATTAAAGGATAATTTTTGATGAAAAATCTTATACACATATTGGAAGATATTTCTGAAACTAAATTGTTTTCACAAATAAATTTTTTTTACAAAAAAATTAAATAAATTTGATGATGGAACATTTTCAGAGTAAAACACTTGTTTCCATGAATATTTTTTAAGTAAGAAAATTATCTTAAATTGCTACTAAACTATTAGAGTAAATTTAAGATTAATTTTCAATAATTAAATTATTTGATAACATTATATGAATATTTTAAGGCTTGGATAATTTGAAATTAAACTGGTACTATCATTTAGACAAACGTTATGAGAGTGTTATAACTTTTTTCACATATAATCATATTTCTGAACCTAAAATCTGATTTCATAGACTAGCATCTATTTTTTAAAGATACTCAAATTAAGTTTGGGATTTCTATTTAAAATAAAATAAATTGAATTAAGTGACCAATCACACATAAATAAAAAAAAAATTAATAGCAACTCTAAAAGTTTATGTCTAACGATAGATCTACAGATTTATATGTTATGACATTTATTTATAAAAAATAAAAGAATAAAATAAAATAAGAACTCAAATAAATAATAAAAAATTACATAAAAATAATTTAAAATATCATAAAAAAGAAATAAAATAATAAAATATCAATATCCTTTGCTTCTATATAGTAATACTCAAACGCTATTAGCATATCCCTAGTAAGTGAAATGGACAATTTCATGAGAATCACATCAAACAACTTCGTCTTCTTAAACTTTTCATCTTTCATATCAAACAACAAAACCTAGTTTTTAACCCTGCCAATTTTTTTCTTGTAAGTGGTCCAATGCACCCTTCCATTTAAAAAACAGGGCAATCTTCATGTAAGGATACCAGTGCAGCCCATTTTCACCATTTCTCTTCTTTTTCAACAAAAACCCAACAATATGGAGAGAAAAAAAGCATAGCATAAAAAAATGAAAAAAAATGAAAAGGAAAAGAAAGATCTAAAGAGGAGAGAGATAAAGAAATGGAATAAAAAAATTGAATTTTTTTTTCCTTAAATTTCTTTGCTTTATCTTTTTTTGTTCATTCTTCCACTATCAACGTTTTTTCTTTTTTTTTTTTAATTTCTTTTTCAAACTTGCTGCCTATTAGTAGAGGTCTCAAACCTTCTATCCCTAATTTTTTTTTCCATTTTTTGGTGATAACATGCCATTTGTATCTTCACGTATTGTCATATCCTTCGTACAATGACACATACCCCTTTATTCGTACATGTAATGTGACAGTTGTATCTCAATCAAATAAATTCAAATCCATAAAGCTCTTAAAATTTAACCAAAAGATAAATTTGACCCAAAAAAAAAAAAAGACAACCGTGAAAGATTTAGAATTTTTTATAGGGATGGCAACGGGTTGAGTCGGAACGAGTATTTACTCGACCCAATTTTACACTTGTCAAACCCAAACCTGATCCGACTCGAATTTTTTTTATTTTTTTTAATACTCGACCGAACCCAACCCGATATTATATAAACCGTTTCAACCGGATTCGATTGAAAATTAATAAAATATTATTTTTAAAATATAATATATTATTTTTTTACATATATAATTATATAAATATATATAAATAAAAAATTAATTTAAAATTTATTTTTATATAATATTATGTCAAGTCGGGTCGGGTTTTAGACCTAACATTTTCTTAACGTTACCCTACCTGACCCGAAACTCGATTTTCAAAAAAAAAAATCGATCCTATAAGGTCGGATCAGATCAAAACTTATCATAGACGGATTAGATTGTCCACCCTAATTCTTTAATATAAAGGATGCCATATGTTATGCCCAAAATCATTATAGGATTTTTTTTATCTCAAATGCTAGGTATCCTTTTTAATTTAGGGATATATAAATGTAAAATTTGTGTAATTGTTATGTGTGTAGATTTTTTTTTAAAAAATTTTAACCATTTTTGGACTCCCTTAACTCTATTTTTATTATTAATTATATTTTTACTCATAAAATTATCTTAATTTGATTTTTTTTTGTAATTAAATTTTTTAATTTTGATCTTTATTAGTTAAATAATTTTATTAAACTAATTTTTTATAATAATGTAGTTTCTAAAAATCTTTTCATTCAAATTTAAAAAAAAATATTTGTCACTAATATTTTAATCAATAATAAATTTAAAACAAAACTAACTTTAAATTGAAAAGTTTAATCACTAAAAATCTATTGAAAATCGAAAGAGGATTATTCTTATGAGATAGCCTGTGCATAAAATGCGGATTGTTTGGCAACAAGAATTAAAAAGTTACCGTTGAAGCACACCGACTTAGCAGAGCTGCCGTTATCTTCAAGCTACCTGATAAGTGGCTTAAGTTGCCTTGTAATTCAAGTTAGAAGCAAAGATTTCTCAGAAAAAGTTGAAGATGGAAGAGTTCGTGTTTCAGAAACGAGTTCGCCTATTCAAATGGAATGTTAAATCTCCAAGCCATGAGCACCATGTTCTTCAAGGACAAGTCCTGTTCTTGATCAAGAGTCGCTTCGTTTCCGCTCCTGCAACTTCAAATGTCAGATTCTCCCACCCAATTTCCTACAGTTTCCAATTCAACCCTGAATGCTTGTCTTCTACAAACAATGTGCAAAAACTGGCTTATGAAGCCGTGTTGAGTACCCAACAGTTTCATGAACAGAGGAATATTGCAGCATTGGCCAACACCATATCGGAATACCTTGTCAAGAACTACAATTTCGGGGTTGACACATTCTCTAAACCTAACGCACCCAAAGTTCTGATTGTTGTTGAAGTGAACAAAACCTGGGTTTTGAAGGGTTTTCAAGATTATGGCATTGGTGAAATTGAAAGGGATCAGTTCAATGGTGAAACTGATGATTATGAAACTACTGATGAAGAAAATATCCTGCTGAGAATGAGAAATTTGCTACGGGTACCAGTGTTTTCTGTGTTGGAGCCAAGCGATATCTCTGAACCCTTGGGGTTGACACAAGTACCAGGACTGGATCTGTTCGAACTATGTGATGTTGGTGCTTTGGCGGCTGATCAGGGCACATGTGCTATCTGCTTGGAAGGGTTATCCATGGATTCCTGTAGGAAGACGCCCTGCTCCCATGTTTTTCATGGGGGTTGCATTGCCCAGTGGCTGTGGAGGAAAAGATCCTGCCCCATGTGCCGATCTCAACTAGCTTAACTAGGCCTTTTTTTTATAGTAATTGTTATGTTTTTGAGGATACATACATACATACATACATATATATATATATATATATATATTACTTTGTTTTATCTACTGGTCGATTGACATTTGAGCTTTTATCAGTCTCAAGATCGTACATGAATGTATTGTCTGTTTATTCTATTGTTGAGATGTACCATAAACCAAAATAGGGGGAGATGAATATGATAGGCAAGATGCTTCTGCATTCATTAGTTAAAAGGAAAATTTTGGTAATCAGTAGCTCTTTTGAAACAGAACTCAGAAAAGTGAGTGAGATCATGGTATAGCTGTGGTTGTTCTGTATGAACACATTGTACTGTCTTGTTCAGATGAAAACATGAACGGAATATAACAATATTAACCATAAAACTTTCAATCTTCATAGTTAATTTTAAGATTAAAATACATTATTTTTCTTGGCGAAGCTTAATACATGAAATTACTGTCTGTTAAAATTGTTTTATGGCACAAAGATAGCCGACAATGAAAATATCATGACTTCAATATGTCTGAGCTGCTGAATCTCCTTCCTCTGTTTCAGCTTTAACCATTTTCAAATCCAAAATTGGTTTCACCAATTTCCATTGTCTGCATCACGAGATTGGTAGAAATCGTTGGGTTGTACTATGTTGACATCCTCAAACTCATTGTCATCTGGAAGCAGGAAAGGAAAGCTTATCAAAATGTTAATTGAAACATGCACTCAGACATGCATGTTTGCAGTATGATGACAAAGTATATGGCAAGATTGATTGATGCAGTATAGAATATGCTTCCTATTCCTGTTTCCATTAGCATGATGAACAATGGCAGAAAGATGCAACTTTCTATTTTCAGCTAAACTATTAAAAAAAAAAAAGGCACAAGTAAACAACAGCCAATTCCAGTCATACACTCACTTCTTAGAAAGCTGGACTAATTCGGAATGAAGTCTTACAGGAATTAAGCTGGTTTGTCAATTCATAACTACACAACCATAAAATCCATCTCCCAAGTGAGAAATTAAGTTTGTCAATACTTGACACTTGATAATTTGAAATACATTGCAATACAGCTATTTAGGGGACGAGGTCTCAATACTGATGAAGAAAAGAACACATTCAACTAATGCAGCAATGGTCATCAGCAGTTTGCATCTGGCATTTACCACTTAAAATATAGCATTGGTATAAGGAGAGCTCAATATCATAATGCACAACCTAATTCTCAATTTCAGTAAAACAAACACACATACAAAAGGAAAGAGGATGCAGCCTAAAAGATATAAAATACATTAAGATGAGAGAGAGAGAGAGAGAGAGAGAGAGAGAGAGAGAGAGGGAGGATAAAATAGAGTGCAAAAAGTTACTGGAGTGAATGATCACCCATCGCTTAGGGAAGAGAGTTACAATTCTTTTATCAAGATACTGGCCCAAGCATTTTCATGCATGCATAAATGGTGCACGCCCAGACAATGCACGCTCAAACGTGAGTTTACAAGAACAAAAGAAGGTACACAACCAAGTTTTTTAAAAGTTAACACAACTTTAAGGGAGGCTTGATACCACTTCCTGAAGATTCCAGATAAACTAAATTCCACTTTATTCATGATTTTGACAATATAAATGGGAGGAAAAGACATCACAACTTGAGGACCTGTATTGTCCCGTATTAAGAAGAAACAGCAGTTTAATGGTCCAGTACAAAGTACACATTCACCTAAGGCAGAAAACCTGACTATTGCCAATAAGAGGACTAACCTAAGCAATTTATTGTTTGTTTGCAAGTCGTCCACTGATAGTAAAAGATTCATTACTTATTACATGAGAATATGAAACAAAGTCATTTCTAACCTAACAAATGAAATACAGAAAATAGTATTTCCTTATGAACACATGGCAACCTATCTTCTAAGACTCAGATTAAAACGTATATATTTATTATAGCTTGTGTCTTGTGGCAACAAAAAGTTCCTCTACTTTTGATCCAAATCGCTTGAGCTAAGAAACCAGAATTATAATACATGGATGATGTGTAATAAGAAACATTTAAAGGAGATGAAAGCTGGAAAAAAAATAAAGAAAAAAAGAAAACTACTAATAAGAAACAACCTTTTCTCAAGGTCAGTGCCACAACAGCATCATTTTCGACCTGAAAGCACAAAGCACATTAAATGTTAAAAAATTCAAAGGGCTCATACAAATAAATCAGTGGTAAGATATCAAACTGCTGCCAGAAAGATTTTCCAACATAAGGTGAGGAGGAAAGAGAGAATGTAACTTGTACCTTCTGGTCCGCCAAAGTTTCAGAATCCTCTAATATTTCCCCAGTATTCAATAGGGTCAAACGCTGATCATTAACAGGTTGATCAATGAGGGTATGCAACTTTTGCTTAATGCCTAGGGTAGTCTCAGTAGGATCACATTGGATAAAGTATGTTGTCTTGCTACGCTTCACACGAATGTACATAGCCTATAAAAGTTGTGGCAATCAATCCAAAGTTCAAAGGCTATACCTCAATATAACAGTAAAATGCTTCAAGTTGCTTATTAAATAGATAAGCAACCTAAACTGAAATGATATAAACAACATATTTCTTGTATTCCATACATATAACTTAGGCTGAAAAACAAACTATATTTAACTATTTTTCTTTTACGTCTCATTTGATTTTATTACATTAACTCCTCGAATGCTTACATAGAAGAACTGTTAGAGTTCCTCACTGCAGATTCTTCTAATTACAAACAATGGAATGATGGAATTGATTGTTTGATATATAAAAATGCAGGTGCAAAAGTTTTAACAGAGCTCCTTACTTCAAAGCTAAGTTGTAGATAAAGTTATATTTTTGGCAACATACATAAAACTCATGATCTAAGAATCCTGATCATTATATTCACAAGCCAATCAAGCTCATGATGCTTATCTGTAGTCACTACCAACAACAAGAAAGCAGCTGTTCGATATTCACAGTTTGACAAGATGATAAAGCCAATTGCTCTTTGAACAGGACAAAATAAACAACCAGGTGGATTCAAGCAAACCAATGCTCAATTTAGTAAATCAAAGACTCCTCCAAATAGACAGAGAACTTTCAGATAAAAAACCAGCCAGCTTGGAACTAGATCTTTCTTTATAGTGAATCGCTGAAAGCCTGAACAAGTGAGACATTGGGACTGTGCTATATAGTCCAGCAATAATATTAGTCCTTGTCCCAACAAGAAGTAATGAAACCAGTTTTTAACTTCTCAAGCCTTTCTCCCATTTCATTACCCTCCCACTAGACCTTCAAGTCATCAATCATCAATACTACACCTAAGACTACATTAGATCTACAAATTCCTTTCTTTTCAAAGCATTTTCATCCTTTTACTAATCGTTTGCCGTGCCTATAAGCTATCATGTCCATCACAATTCATCAAATCCCTCGAAGTGAACACATATCTCATCTTCTTTATGTTCAATCTGATTAAATTACTAAGACATAAAGAAATTGCACAAAATTTTCTCTTTTTTTCACAGGGGACTCATAACAAATTAAATCTGTATAAATGCGCTTCAAAAACTAAATTTACATTAAAAATTCATTAACACATGAATTAATTAAACAAAAACATATCATCGGCATACCATTTTTTTATTTTGAAGCCAAGACCCTGCTTCCGATGATTTAACAGTAGGCTGCAAAAATGGTTATATTCAATGGTAAATTAACAAAAAGAAATAGTAACAAAATCCAGTAACTTCATTTATTGCCTTTTCTAGAAGAAGATCATCAGAATAATCTGGAGAAAAGTTGGAGGTCCAAACGATCGAAATCAAAACCAAGTGATAGACAAGCGTTTTAAGTAAATTTCAAGAACAAATTTAAGGGGAACAAAAATCAAATGAATGTATCTGGAAGAATCAGGGAAAATATAAGAATGCTAAGAAACGAAACCAACCTGCAAAAATAGCAAGCTTCTCTGTTGAAGATGTTTGATGCTCTCTTTAGTTATCTATTTTTTTTCTCAGTTTTTCTACACTAGACTTTACCGTTTCTTGTTTTCAGTTTGTCCCTAGGTGCTGTTTGGCTGCTTCTTTATCTAAATGGAGTAATTTTTAGACGGATATTTTTGGATTATATATACTTGGGCTGGGTGAAGGATATAAAAAGCATCTAAATTATAAATTAAAAAAAATTATTTTTATTGTTTATTGTAATCAATTATTTTTTCAATATTTATTTATATCTAATTAAACTTTTATGGTAAAATTTTATGATCAATAAAATAGATGAAAACTTATCCCATAAGGCAATTAATATATATGTGAAAATAAAATTAAATAAAGTTTTTTTTCTATTTTCTCTTTTTTTATCTAAGATCTCTTTAAGGTTTAATTTTTTGTAGTTTAAAGATTGTTTGATTATAATTTGCCATGTGGTTTGTGCATAGACTTTGCTGACATGATAATTTGTATAAAAAAATTAATTGTTAAATTATATAAATGATTCTTCTAATATAATTTTATGAAAGTCTCATCCTTGTACAAATTAAAATTAATAATATTAATAAATTACTAATGCAAATCATATATATATTTATATTTTTAAAATTAGATTTTATTTTTTCAAAAATAAATCTCAAATTTTTAGAAAATTTTCATATTATTCTTTTTAAAAATCATATTTTTGAAATTTTTAATATCATATTTTAATTTTTAAAATTTTAAAATTTTGAATTTTTAGAAATTTCTTAGTTTTTAAAAAATATTAAATGTACTTTTTTAATATTTTAATTTTTTTAAATAAATATATATATTTTTGAATATTTAGTTTTCAAATTTTGACATTTTATTTAATCAAAATATTTGATTCTTTAACTTTTAGGAATTTTATAAAATTTTCTATATAATTTTTAATTTCTTTTTTTTAAAATTTTTTTTTCTATTTTTAATATTTAAATGAAAATAAATAAATAAATAAATTATAAAAAAGACATGATGTTTTTAGAATTTGTTTTGTTTTGATATATTTGAGGAGGAATAGCATAAAAATTTGAGATAAAACAGATAAATAATGAAACATGAAGAATTTCTTATTATGATTTATTTTTTATTTGAATAACATAAAAAATAAAAAAAAATTAAAATTTATAAGCTCTTTTTAAAAACATAAAATATTCTAAAAAATTAAAAAATTAAAAAAATATGGAAATTTTTATAAAAATTATAAAATTAAAAATAATAAAATTAAATATTTTGTTTGAATAAAAATGTTAAGTTTTGAAAAATAGAAAAAATTTTGAAAAATAATATCAAAATATTAAAAAAATAAATTTAATATTTAAAAAATATAAAAATTTATAAAAATATTGAAATATTGAGTTTTCTACTAAATTTGAAATTTTGTTCGAATTTGAAATGAAATTTTAAATTTCATGTGAACACAAAATCATTTACATAATGTAAAAGTTGATTTTATTTATTTAAATTATCACATCAATAAAGTTAATATCACATTTATAAAATTAATGCCTATATCTTCAAATCGATGATCACATCTATATTTTTAATAAGAAAAACTAACAAAATTAACGATTGAATTAAAATCAAATCAAAATAATATTATAACTAAATTTATATAAATTATACTATAGAGATTAATTCTAAATTTTAACATAATACAAAGACCTCTAGTATAATTTAACCATTCGCAAGGAAAAACCTTTTAAACAAAGAGGGGATGAAGGGTGAAAAAGAGAAAAAAACCATCATGCTCCTTTAACTAAAGCACATAATAGGGGCAACGAGAACAATTGTATTTGGCTGTTCTATCTATCAAAGCCTCAAGGTATAATGTAGCCATTTCTTAGTTTGATGTAACTAAGTTCTCGTATGATCTTTTTTTTCTTTTCTTTTAACAATGGTAGAGGCGACTCTAACAACCACTACAGATTTTCTAGCTATCCAAGTTGGGTTTTATGGTGTCATATCACTTGATCTTGACAACTGTCTCTTTGTTCTTTGGTGAATTAACGTGCATTTGAATTCCAGTCTATTCGGAATGGTACATGAGTTAAAATTAGAGTACCTTGCATTAGTACAATTTAACTGGAGGCAGAGGACAACATAACCTGATACAGAATAAAGCAGCGATGGTGCCGGTGTTAAAACGGATTTCTACTCCATGGTTGCTTTGCCTTTGAGTAAATGATTTTGGTCCAATTGAGCAATGCCCTCAGAGCTCAAGTTCTTTATTTGCTTGAACTTTGGAACTTCCATAGATCCATTTTTTCTTACACTTCTAGCAAATTTCTTTTATTTTTAGCTCTTAGCATTATATTCTCTCACTATTTTGGAAGAACATAAAGAATATATGCATAATATGAGCTTCTACATAGACGTTCAATGCTTTTAGGATTAGCCTGGTTCACTTTACTCCTCCTTTAATTTTTCTGTAATGTTGAAACATGTTACTAATGGTAATACTCTGCAAGAAAATAATGCTAAATCTTACGCTAATTTTGCTTGTTCTATTAACTAATGTTGTTATGGTGATCATAAGGTTTTTCCATTTGGTATTAATGTATCTGAAAAGCTCTTATATTGCATACAAGTTAACTGCACTTCTTGCAGATTCTTGGGATCTCTGGTTCGAAAATGGAAGTTGAGGTTCCAGTGGACTAAACTAAGGGTAACCATCCTATGCTATAGTGAATTCCTAGCATTGGTATCATAGGTGTCTCTTTCAAAAAATTGATGCAGTAATTCTTCTGTTGTAATGTGTCTAGTTAACTCCTCAAATTTAGAAACTTAGCATTTTTGGATGTTACCAAACTTGAAACAATTAAAAGCTATAAATTGGTTTATGCTATACCTTCCTTAGAACTTTGTTTAGGGTTTGCCCTCTCCTCTGCCTTCATTTTCTCTTCTTTCCTTCCTCTTCTTATTTCGGTACCTACTGTTAGAGTAATTGCCCATACTCGTCAATGGATCAATGGAGACCCTGATAAAAACCTTCTTTTAATGCAGGCAGAGATTGGGTGTTTGGCTGTCGAATGATGATTCCATTGTCTAACATGTAAGCCACATGAAGCAATAGAATTTAGGGATGTTAATTTTACCTATAGTTAATGGAAAATCTGATTTTTTATGAGAATAAGGGTGGAGATAAGTATTATATTATAGGTATGAAGATGGAAATGAGCATGATTTTAAATTTTTATTAGATATACAGATAGAGACAGATAATATAACACTCGTTTCATACCTTACATATATATAAAAATATTTATATATTTAATAAATAGATTTTTATTAAATAATATAAATTATTATTCTAGATTAATTAGAATTAATAAATTTTTATTAATAAAATATTAATATATTTATAAAAAAAATTACTTAACTATATAAGATAAAAATTAAAAAGCTAAAAAAAATTTTTTATTTTTATTTTTAAAAAAACTATAAGTATGAGAATTATTCATATTCATTAAATATTCGCAAAAATAAATATGAGAATAAATTTAAAATACCTATTGGGTATAAATACAAAAATAAATATAATATAAAAATTCAAGAATGAAAATAAAAAATACTCTACCTAACTCACACCCTACTCATTGACATCTCTTAAAGTATATTTAGTATGAGGTGATCTATTTAAAAACCACTTTTGTGAATAGCTTGTAATGCTTCATCTCTTTCGAGACTAGGACTTTTTATCAGAACTTATGCTTGTCGCATACCTTAGTCTACTACCGCTCGAATAGCATTTCCCATTGCGATTTGAGCAGCAAAAGGAGTCCTTCTTCTTGGACCCTTGAATCCATAAGTATTGGTGAAGGAACAAGAAATTACCCAACCTCGTACATCTGTATAGTAACAATGGTATTGTTGAAACTTGCTTGAATATGAATAGCTCATTTTGGTATTCTACATGCACTTTTTTATGCACTACTGCATCTATTCCTACGTGAACCAACTTTTGGTATAGGTTTTACCATATTTTATCATTTCATAAAGATAAGTTAGAGATACAATATATCCATTTCGTGTTAAAACATATATGCTATTTTTATTTGTTCATCTATTTCTTTGAGATTAATTTTTTTTTTCTTTAACTTTAAGGAGTTCTTTTTAGAATAGAAAGATTATCCTTGTCTTTGTTTATATCTCGAGTTGGAACAAATTACAACAATTCATCCCTTCTTAAGGATTAGTCAACATTTTTCACAAATTTTACGAATGGAAGTCTTTATTTTCCCAATCTAAAGGATGAAAAGGTTTTATTACCATAGGAAAATAATTTTCAATAGTATTTTCTAACTTACACTCACAAAAAATATAGTTAACATTACTCCAAAAAGCTAGCCACTAAAAATTTTAAAAATTTTTTTTTTTAATTATTTACTCTAAAAAAGTTTTATATTATAAATTTATATTGATTAGAAAAAAGAAAGTGAATTATTTAATAATTTTTTAAAAAATTATTTTGATCAAAATTGACTTATCCTTTATAGTTTTTTTATAAAATAACGTTTAACTATTTTATAGATTGTTGATTAAATAAATATTAAATATATATTTTTTGGTAAAGTTATTTTGGGTATTTTGTGCTATATAATTTGTTTTTTTTTTATATATAACATCAAATACATTGATTTAAAAATATCAGTTATTTATAATATTATATCAAACATAGAAATCTAAAACCATTAGTCATCAAATTACTTTGATGATCTTATCACCATGATAATTAGATCAATATGATCACCATAATATTTTTGAAAATAATACCAAATGCTACTTAATAGAATTTGATCAAGTGAGCTATCTCCTTTTCTTATATTAGCGTCTAAAGTTAAAAAAAAACTAATGGTAGTTGAAAGTTGCTTGACTTTGCCACACCGTCTTCTGGTAGGTTGTTCTATTCAATGTCGATAATAGCTCT